GAGTTTGCGAAGGTGAGTTTTCAGCTGTAGCTCCTCCCCCTGTGACCTTAGCAGGCGCAGCTCCAGCCTATCAGACTGCTCCGTGAGCTGCCTGACCAGCTCCCTGTAGTGATCCTTGTCCCGCAGGAGCATCCGGACCTCCTCCTGCTGCTGTGCCTGCGATGCCAGAGCCTGTAACAATCAGAGGGCCACAGCTCAGAGGTCATGACCCACACATAGCTGTAGAAGTCGGACATTTGGAGGTTAACGTTAGTTAACAGTTTCAGACAAAGTTCACCAACTTGTCCACGGAAACCAACAACATTAACGCAAATAAGGAAGATCTCAGAGATTATCCCTGGTGTAGTCTCGCACCTGAGCTGAACCCATCTGTCACGCGGACTGCACACCTCGCCTCTATCTAGAGGCTCTACCTGACATGATCAACACTGATGCGTGCCTCAGAGGCCGAGAAATCAGAACAAAATAAAACAAGATGGTGAGATCTGACCACCACCTCCTCCTGTTCCTCCTGCTCCTCACCTTGTCCCTCTCTTTGATCACCTCCTCCAGCTGTCCGAGGATTTGTTTGTTTCGTTGACGGTACATCCTGACATCACTCTTCAGTTGAGCGCAGGACAGTTCCAGCTCCTCCTTCTCCTCCTGAATCTACACCAGGAGCAAAAAAACAAGTTTTAGACAATAACAATAATCACTTGTTTTGAGTACAAATATGTTTAAAATGCACCGTAACATAGGTTTTGTTCATCTCGCTCCTAGCCTCTTCAGAGTTTCTGGGGAGCTAGAAATAGCGGCCCGTCAGGGCAGCAGCAGCCAATAGCTGCACTGCTACATGAGATATGCTCATACAACAGAAATGTATCCAACCACTGTCATGGAATCTGATGGCTTAAGGGCATTTAATTTGTCGCCCCAGTCAAGTCTCTCTGTGACGGAGTGCATATCTGAAGTACTAACACACTTCATGAACTTCACCACAGGGAGAGGCAGAATTGTGAATTTTGAAGAGCTGCTGTTTGTGGTCCGTGGCTGCCTATAATGCTAAACATTTCTGCAGCTAAACCAGTGCTTCAAATAGTGGGATGGAACCCCTTTGGGGGTGGAACGGTGAGGTGCAAGGGGTTTCCAATAGAATATGGCACCCTTGACATAAACGTACCACTGCTGTAATGCTTGAACGATAACAAGCCTTCAGTCACTAGGTGGCAGCAACTCATACAGTGGTTTGTAGAGATAGAAATATACAGGTATGTATCAGGTTGTCAATAGTATTTCAATTTGCAGCGGTGTTGGCTGGAGGGGGCGTGAAAACATTTCTGTCCACAAGTGTGGTTCTCAAAATAATCGAAAACCGCTGAGCTAAACTAAAAGTGTATGTCTCATTATAAACTGTTGACACCCTGTTTACAGGAAACAATCTGTTCTAATTGTGTTTGCTTGTGCCCATGAGGAAGCAGACATTTAAAACAAACAACGAACGTACGCACACACACACACACCCTGGTTCTCTGCTCCTCTGCTCTATTCATCTCTCCTTTCAGTCTGAACACTGTTGCGATGAGGTTCGTCGGTGGGAGAGGAGCAGGAAGTTCTGTATTTTCCTGTCTTTTCTCCTCCTTCTCCTCCTGTTTTGGATCCTGTTTTCTCTCCTCTGGCTTTTCCTCCCACTTTTCCCTCACTCGGTCCAGGTTGAAGAAGTTTTCTGTGGGCAGAGTTCTGCTCTGGAAAACACAAAGTAAAATAAGTAGAATAAAACAGTTAGCACTTATCAACACCAGCAGTCATCTCAGACGTAGAAACACTAGGTGAGACAGCTTTGACTTGAGCCTGACCTCGGGTCGTTCTCTCTCTAACGGTGTCGCTAATATAATTTTTGATTTTGCAAAAAAAAAAAGAATTTGCAGTGAAAAGATGAAAACAGGACATTACCCTGCTCCACCAGAGGGGGCAGAGTCTACTATTTATATGTTTTTTTTTGGTATAAATTCTCGCCACTGCTAACGCTAGATTGTGTATGAGAGGCCAGACGCACAAAACACCGCATGAGCCACTCACCCCGCAGCATCCCAGTTCTCGCGCATCTGGTCTCGGAACAATAAGTGGTTAGCGTAACTCTAACATTGTTTGTCGTTTACATTAGCAATTGGAAAAAGTTCATGACCCGAGGTATCATTTTTATCTATATAATAATATAGATATATCATAATGATACCATCATTAGCAGGGGAACCGTATTTTGAGAACCACCGTGTACTGAAAATGGGTCAGAACTGACTACATGAATCTCCGACGGTGTAAAAGTGACAACAGTCGACCATACCTGTTGAAGTGACGTTGGCTTTCGTAGTTTCAGCCGCCGCGTCTGACTTTCCACCCGCTCCACCGTGTTTTTCAGCCGTTCCACCTGCACTCGCAGACACGGAGCCATGTCAACAGTTTCATTTCCTTTCTGTGCCCAACATCTGGTTCCCGGGCCAGCTCACCTCCATCTGCAGATCTCGGTTGGCCAGCAGGGCGTTGCTCTTCTCCTGGTTGAGCCCGTTTATCTCAGCCATCAGGCTGTAGTTGTGGTCTCGGAGATGCTTGACCTCCTCACTCAGCTGCTCCCTCTCGTTCCGCAGCTTGTGCAGACGCTCGGCCATTTTTTTCTTCTCTTGTTCCCTGAGTTGCTGCTGCTGAGACCAAGCCTCCTGAAAACAGACAACAAACACCATTCAGCCCAACACCAGTCAGCCAAAACTCGTAAACTCTGTCCACACAGAACACCCTTTTTAATCGGGAATAATCAAACGGTACCTGTTCCTTGGCGACGGAACAGGCCTGTTGCCGACGCCTCCTCTCGTCCTGCATAGCCCTCTGGAGGCGACTGACCTCTGTCATCAGGAACTGAGTCAGAGCAGATTCTCCTCCAGTGTCTGGACAGTACCAACAAGGCAAAGGTAATCAAACCGTAAATATGTAAAGAACCGATTAAGGATCTAAGCCTTTATTTGAATTAATTTATTGCTGTGCTAACAAATAAGTCAATTTTTGGACACTAGAGGGAGCCCAAGTACGACATTTGGCATGTATACCGCATTTTGAGAAGCTTTTTTTTGTGTGCAGACACATGGAGACAAAGGGACCGACCAATCAGAATGCTGAAGGTCTTTTTCGGCTCCTTTCCAGTAATTCGACTGTACAGCTGAGGATAATCCAACTCCAGACTCTCCAGGAAGGCCGTGTAACCTTTGAGCCCCGTCCTTTGAAGGATGTCCAGCAGAACTCCTGTCAAAAATCACAACACAACGTACTGAGAGTCAGAGGAGACTTGTTGACAAGACTACAGTGGGCTAAGTCAGCATGTCTGTGTGGCTAGGACAAACGTTTGGCATTAGATCGGGTTAGCATTTTATGCCAGTCATTCTACCTTCTGGTTTGTACTGTGACTGCAATTCAATTGGATCACAATTCACTTTCAGTTTGAAAACTAAGCCTGTTTAGTTGAACACAGCGCTAATATACTCACAGGAATTGAAGAAAGACACACAAAAACCATCGATAGCTCTGACTTATGTAGTTTATAGAATATCTAATGCCACCTGGTGGCAGAGTTGCTATTTGTTCTGCATGTCACTGTCACACAGCTGAGTAAAGACAAATTATTTGTAAATAAATAATAGCTTTCAGACTAATTAAGTTTATTTAAGTTTAAGATTTAATTTTCCTGCAGCACACCTGCTGATCTCCCACGGCACGTTGACGTGCCGCAGGACAGTGTTTGGTTATCACAGATCTGAACCAGTGCCACAACATCTGCTGTGCCTCTTACCGACTTTTCTCCTCCTGATGACAAGGGTGGGGTCATTGAAGAGCTGCTCTTCATCGTCAGCACTCATCACCTGAGAACAAACACCACAGAGTGAACGTTAAAAAAAAAACAGAAGAAGCCTGAGGATTCTGGGACTGGCTCAACAGAACTGCGGCGGCGTACCTGACACTGACGGAGGTAGGGGGTGATTTTGGACGGGTCGATGGTTTTGATGAGCAGCATTCTGAAATCTTCCAGCTTCAGCCAGCAGAGATCGTCCTCCGACACCTCGTTCATGTTGATTCCTCACAGCGAGCACGGACAACACCTGGAGCTGACGTTTCCGTCAGTGCTTTTTAATTCATTGAGGAAGAAAGTCATTCTTCTCACTTCCTCTTTTCCCCTCGGACTCCACCCTCTGTGATCACTGCTGACGCAGGTTTTCTATAAATCACGAAGCAGATCTATACACAGAGCCCACTACAGTTAAAACTGGAGGTCATGGACCACTTGTGCCCCCCGACCCCTAAAGTCAGATTACACCAGCACTTATTTATTTGTCGATACAGGTTCATTATGGTCTGCTGTTATAACTGCAGCCAATGATCCTATGTCAGTTTATTCCCCAGTCAAACAGGAACAGGAAGTGAGAATTTAGAGAATAAAATAAACGAGTCATGGTGAGAAGTGATTCCAGACACACCCAGAAGACCAAACATGTCATTGCAATAACAGAACTATTTGGTTCCTCACAGCAGGTTCCTTAAGTGGGCCCTTAGTGTCCGTCACAGCGCCACCCAGTGTTTACAAGAAAAAGGACATTAGATACACTTTCAGTATAATTAATCTAATCCAAGTTTTTTCCTTTAAAAAGACTTTGGTTGTGCTGTCCAATGCTAAGAGAGTCCAAATGTGGCTTAATCAAACAGTGGCTCGCTGGCCAAATGTGGTCAAGTCATTTTCTAGAGACCTAGAGAATCACAAATGATTCTAAATTCTAAATGATACGACCATGAATACAACCCTCCACAGATGATTAACAAGTTACCCACAATGCATCACTTGCAAGCAGTTTACCACAAAGCAGCAAGTATTTCTGATGAAAAAAATTAAGTTAAGTTAATTAGCGGCAGAAAATGACGAACACAGACTTATTTCTCTTTCACTTTATTGCAAAAATATTCTTTCCATAATAACACAAAATTTTCTGCGCAGAAACTGTTTACAAAAAAAAGTTGCGACACTTTCGGTTTTAAATTAATTTCATCACTCTGGAGTTCGTTCCATAATAACAACCTTTTCTGCGCAGAAACTTTACAAAAGAAAAGTTGTGACACTTTTGGTTTTAAATTAATTTCATCACTCTGGGGTTCCTGAATGCACCTGAAACTTTCAACTTCCTTCAAAACTGATGTCACAACTGTGATTCCCCTGCAGAAACCAGGAATCATCTAAGAAAACCTTATCACAATAATGGTTCAAATGCTAAATATTTATGTTAAAGTGTTAGTTTGACCAAACTCAAAAAAACTTGGATGACGTTGAAATAAAAAAAAAAAATACAAAAAAAAACCAATATTACCATGAACACATGATGGACAATGCCGTGAGCTAATTATTAGTTAGGCTCAGTTCTTGTATCAGGGACTTCAAATGTTGCGTATTCCTGAGATTTAATGAGCTGGATTTCCTGATTCCTCACACACCAACAAAGATTTCTATAAAATACAAAAATAAACAAATACATAAGTAAACAAGGTAGTCCTAAAGCTATTAAAATATATATTTTTAAAAAGACAAAACCTGCGTCTCACCTGTGCTCTCCTCTGCCTCGATCGTTCTTTCATTTTCTTGAACATCTCCTCCTGCTCATCGTACTCTTCGTTCTCCTCTCTTTCCTCACAGGTCATTGGCTGAATGGTGGCCAGGAGGGCGGGGACAGTGAAGCAGGACAGGAAGCGAGCCTTCAACATCTGGTAGGCGGGGTTTTCGGAGAAACCATTTGTTACCAGCTTGGATACTTCTGCCAAAAGCTTTTCCTCCTCCTCCTCCGATACCTCCACTCCCTCCTTTTTCGCTCCCTGCAGGTCAGTGTTGACAGAGGGCGCTGCTGGGAGATAAAACAGACAACTGAATATCTGGTAGTGTAGCAATTTTTAGACATCTAAACACACACACAAAAAAACCCAACTTTCATTCATCCGTCACCATGTTTGTTATTTAGGTTCACACCAATTGACAGATTGTGAAAGTCAGATTTTCCACAGGGTGGCAGGAGGATGGGGCATCAGCAATACAGTTCCCCATGAAGGGCCAATTGTAACTGTGGGACAAGGTAAATCATTTTTAAGCTACTGTGGGCCACAGAAATTGACTTTGTGGGCCGCACTTGGCCCACGGGCCTAGGGTTTGACATGTGATTTAGAGCAGTGTTTCCCAAACTTTTTTTTCTGGGGAAACATATTTTAAAAAATCACAAACCTTCGCAACCCAAGTCAATAGACATTATTCGGAAACTCCTGGGAAACGTGATGCAAGACGACCCAAAAAAAATTCATGCGACCCACCTGAGGGTCGCAACCCAGTCTTTGAGAAACAATGATTTAGAGTGTCCAAACAACCTACTCCCCTATTGGGAGGAACATAAAAGAACTGCAGGAACATGCAAACTCCATACAGAAGGATCAACCAGGGAATTCAACCAGTGACCTTCTTACTGTAAAGGCAAGAATTACTCATTCTTCTGCCACTCCTGGCAGTCATTCATTCACACTCCCATTCACACCTAAAGTCAGTGTAGATTCATTTAGTGAAAACAAATCTTCTGCTTTACTCTACCTGACGCATTGTCGTCCACGCTAAGCACGGTAGTGGCGGGGGTATCTGGAAGGTCTGATGGAACAGGACTGCAGGTCTGGTTTGTGCTGGTCTCAGGTCTGGAGTGTGTTTGAGTCCCCGTCTGCTGGTCTTCACCCAGCAGCTGCAGTGCTGATTCAGTCAGTGACTTTTTTGCGCAGAGAAGCGCCGACAGCATGCGCAGATTGCTGACAAAAGGTGGCAGGTAGGGCACAGCCACGCCCACTTCAGGTGCCGACACCCCTCCCTTTCCACTCAGCCAATCCTTCACAACCTCCTGGGATTCCAGGAACATGAGGGAAGGGTCAAACTGACAAGGCTTGCTAGAAGAGGCAGGAGCAGGAGGATGAGAAGGAGTGTCTGGTCTGACCACACCTCCAATAGGCTGTGAGGCTTCAGACAAAAGGGTAGGGGGAGGATTCAGTAGTCCCGGGTTTGGGATGGGTTGTAAGATGAAGGTCTGAGGGAGAGGACCAGAGGAGAAGGTTTTGGGGACGGCAGGACAAATCGGAATGAACCGTCTCGGATTTACGGAGACTAATGGTGGTTGAGGTGCGAGGGGTCTCTGACCAGGGAGGAGTTCCTGACGAGGGAGGATCCGACGAGGAAGGAGCCGATGAGCAGCGGGGATGGTGGGAGGGTTGGGAGTGACAACAAGGAGTGGGCTTTGGAGCTGGGAGTGCGCCTGGAGGACGTGTCCACCAGGAGTCACTTCACTCGTGGACGGACTTGGACCTAAAGGTGGAGTCTGTGTCTGTTGGACAACTTTCTTCGTTGTTACTTTGCCGACTTTTGACTTTTGAGAGCAGGCGACTTTCTTCTTCGTGACTTCAGCCTAGAAACAAAACACGAAGCAGTGATTTAAAAAGACAGTAGGAAACTTGATGAGTCTCACTGGAATATCAGACATTTATTTTGCAAAATTTATTTAACCAATCCAGTAAGCACTAGTAGGGACTCTAGGGGTGTGTATTGGTAAGAATCTGGTGATACAACACGTATCATGATACAGGGGCAACGATATGATATATTGTGGCACAACAATATATTGGCGTTTTTTTTTCCAATGGTTAAAAAAAAGATGGTTTGACTCAAAATCTCAAATACTTGCAAACATATACATTCCCTGTACAATGGACTAGCGATCGGAGGTTTAAATGCAACACAAAAATAAACCAATACAATGAACATTTGCATGTACATTTTTGAATAAAAATCACAATTTTCCAGTGTATCAATATATTCTTACATCCCTAATTGACTCTATACAACAACAAACTCTCTCGCTCTGGTGGGCCACATAAAATAAAGTGGTGGGCCAGATTCGGCCTCAAGTTCAGCATGTTTGATTTATACAAAAGACTGGCTAAAAGATCACTGGCTAAAGTAACATAGCAGGCTAACGTGTTCAGGGGGGAAAAAAAAGGGATTTGATCTCACCACTGCGTCACGGGTTTCCTTCATTTCTTTGACCTTTAGAGACGGCTTTCGTATCCTTTTCTGCGGCATAACCTCACTCCTATTTGCCTCACCCGTCCCATTTGGATTTTTGCCGCCTTGCACATTTGTCCCTCTGTCTTTCTTCTCCTCTCGTTCTCGTTTTCTCTCTTTGTGTTGATTACAGGAGTCAACTGTGACGCCGTGGTCCTTGATTGAAGGAACTGCGTAGTCATGGTCCAATAGAACGTTGGTGAAGTTTGAAGTAGAGGATGTACTGTCAGTGCTTTTATATTTCTTTTATTTAGGAGAAAAACAAGGAAAAAAAACATTAAATGATATTCAGAAGTCCTTTACGTTAAAGGTCAAAGTTTTAGTTTTTCAGTCACTGGCAGTCAAGAGTTTGAATCCAAACTTCCTGCCAGGCACCAGTTCTACGTAAACACAGGATTAACACAGTAGATTGTGTTGTGACTGGAAGAAACTGGGGATCCGATAAATACCACGAAATGATATATTGTGATACACTGTGATACTTTAGACAGGATGATATATTGAGTTTTTTTAAAAAAAAACAATATAACTAATAGGAAAACTGCTTTAAATGCAACACAAACAGACGTCAAGACTATTCTTATAAAAAAACAAAAAAAAAACCCCAGATAGTGCTGTAGAATATCAATACAGTGAAATGAAATATATTGTGATATTTCAGTGTATCGATATTTTCTTACATTTCTAGTTGTGACATGGACTGGAATATTGGACATTTATTTTGCAAATGTATTTAACCAATCCAGTAAGCACTAGTATAGACTCTAGGGGTGTGTATTAGTAAGACTCTGGTGATACAACATGTATCACGATACAGGGGCAACGACATGATATATTGTGGCACAACAATATATTGGCGGGTTTTTTTTTTCTTTTCCAATATTAAAAAAAGATGGTTTGACTCAAAATCTCAAATACTTGCAAACATATACATTCCCTGTACAATGGACTAGCGATCGGAGGTTTAAATGCAACACAAAAATAAACCAATGCCATTAATATTTGCATGTTACTTTTTGAATAAAAATCACGATTTTTCAGTGTATCAATATATTCTTACATCCCTAATTGACTCTATACAACAACAAACTCTCTCGCTCTGGTGGGCCACATAAAATAAAGTGGTGGGCCAGATTTGGCCCGCAGGCCTCAAGTTCGGCATGTTTGATTTATACAATAGCCTGACTAAAAGATCACTGGCTAAAGTAACATAGCAGGCTAACATGTTCAGGGAAAAACAAGGGATTTGATCTCACCACTGCGTCACGGGTTTCCTTCATTTCTTTGACCTTTAGAGACGGCTTTCGTATCCTTTTCTGCGGCATAACCTCACTCCTATTTGCCTCACCCGTCCCATTTGGATTTTTGCCGCCTTGCACATTTGTCCCTCTGTCTTTCTTCTCCTCTCGTTCTCGTTTTCTCTCTTTGTGTTGATTACAGGAGTCAACTGTGACGCCGTGGTCCTTGATTGAAGGAACTGCGTAGTCATGGTCCAATAGAACGTTGGTGAAGTTTGAAGTAGAGGATGTACTGTCAGTGCTTTTATATTTCTTTTATGGTAGAAGAAGAACAGAAAAAAAGCATTAAATGATCTCCAGGAGTCCTTCACATTAAAGGTCAAAGTTTTAGTTTTTCAGTCACTGGCAGTCAAGAGTTTGAATCCAAACTTCCTGCCAGGCACCAGTTCTACGTAAACACACAGTTTACTGGAAGAAACTGGCGATCCGATAAATACCACGATACAGTGGCAACGATACAATATATTGCGATACTTTAGACAGGATGATATATTGAGGTTTTTTTTAACAATTTAGGAAAACTGCTTTAAATGCAACACAAACAAACATGACTATTCTTATTTTTTTTTAAAAACGATAGTGCTGTAGAATATTAATACGGTGAAACTAAATATTGCGATATTTCAGTATAGATATATTGTTACATTCCTAGTCATTACATTGACATTATTCAGAAACTTAAACAAAAAAAAACCTAAATCACAAAAACGAATCAATGACCGATTCGATTTGTTAAAAATATATATATATACATATATATATATAT